TGTGTGGCACTTTATTGATTTCTGTGAAGAAAACTAAATGAAATTGTTATTTTTAAAATTTAGCTTATTATTTAAGATCTAAACTTGCAAACCTTTTTAAAAGACACAAGCTATATTTACATAGCCTTCACTCTCTGATAAACAGTCTTGCCCTGCATTAGGAGAAATATGCATTTAAAACAACCAAAGAGCTCATGAATTGCATTAAAGCATGAACACTGAATTTGTAAAAAAAAAAAAGCCTAAAATTAAATATCCATAAAATGTGGTACTTAGTCACTAATCAATGACAAAAAAAGGGGTTCCTTAAGGAAAAATGTTGGGAACCACTCATCTGATTTACCAAGCTCAGTTTCAAGGCATATAAATTCCTGAGTGTGGTCACAATGATGAGTTCTACAACCATCCCCGGTAATCAAACACACAGAACTGTGATAAATGTTTTAAATGAAGTCAATGTTGCCATCCATTATAATTAATAATGATTGATCAGATGATTATTAGCACTCACAGCAGTGCAACCTTTATTGGTAATAACTAGTGAACAAATGATGGTTTGTCAAATCAAGTCTGAATCTAATTTATTTATCAGACCACCTGTGGTGATGAATGTGAGAGATATATATTTCAGTGTTGTTGCCTGTTGAGCTAATGAATTTGATCCAACATCAGTAACAATTGAATAAACTGGATATGGTTTGCATTTGTGTTCAGGTACCAGCAGATAATGCACTACCACATGCAGAATGAGGAGTACGGAAAAGTGATAGAGGCCTGCAAGCGCTTCGGGGACCAAGAGGGTTGCCTTTGGGAGCAGGCACTGGGATACTTTGCCAGAAAAGAAGAAGACTGCAAGGCCTACATCAGTGAGGTCCTACATCACATTGACCAAAACAACCTGATGCCTCCATTACTCGGTAAGCTGGTGGACATTTTATTTCACACTTCATGCATGGTTTTTGTTGGATTTGGATCCAAATGATTGAAAACAAACACAATCAGCATTAGAATCAATTCAGATGGAGATTGAGAAGGTTCAGATTACATTACATTTGTGATTATCTTTTCCTGATCTGCTGCAGTGGTGCAGACATTGGCACACAACTCTACAGCCACTCTCTCCGTCATCAAGGACTACCTCATCAACAAGCTGCAGAGGGAGAGCCAGCAGATAGAGGACGACGAACGCAAAATCCACCAGTACCGCGAAGAAACTGCTCACCTCCGCTCAGAGATCCAGGAGCTTAAAACGAGGTGGGTCACATGAAGGAGAGAAGTCTTGTTTTTATGGATAGATGCTGCCAGTTCTACCAGTTTCTTACTGCAATTCTGTAACTTTTATGGTTGCTTCTGTCAGTTACAGCCACGGGTGAGGCCTAGACACCTTTGGGCTGATGTAACCCGCAGGAGTCACAGATTGCCCAATATCAGTGTCAATCTTTATCCCAATAATTTTCCCCACAGTGCCAAGATATTCCAGAAGACCAAGTGTAACATGTGCAACAGCCCCCTGGAGCTGCCGTCTGTTCATTTCCTGTGCAGCCACTCCTTCCACCAACACTGTTTCGAAAGCTACGCAGAGAGTGAGGCAGAGTGCCCAACTTGCACTCCAGAGAACCGCAAAGTCATGGACATGCTGCGTGCACAGGACCAGAAACGCGACCTGCATGACCACTTCAACAGACAGGTAAAAATAGCTTTTACTAGAAGGAAGGTCACCAAAAACGAGATCAGTCAATCACGTTGCGAGTTGGGCGGTCATTTTAGTTTTCATATTGCACAATCATGGCTGCTTGAGATGGCTGGAAGAAATTTAACAGCCACCTCGATAATGGTTAAAACTAAACCAGCACAAAAATGCCAGTTGCCACTGTAAACCAGAATGTTCTGAACAGACACAAACACCAACAAAATAGCATTATGGACATTAAAACCACACAGCCAGCACTAGGCCATGGCTTGATGGGAAAAATGGGAGTTAGCTTAGTCTAGAGAGCAGCGCACTCTGCTTAGGTCGCAAAATGTGGATAAATATATTTATTCAGTGTCTTTTTATTGGGCATCTAGGTATTGTCCAAAAAGTAGACGTGAGGCGTAAATAAAGCATTCAGGTTGCGGTTATGCCTGTGAGAGCCTGCACAGACAGCCAGCTGCATAGATTAATGTAAGAGCATAAAATCACAGTCTGTGTCTGTGCTTGGTGCAACAGTATCACAGCACCACGTTCTGTTTAATATATTCTGTCTCATTTTTACCATCCCAATCCAAATTATATCTATAAAGTTAAGCAAAGTGTTTGAGGGCAGGCATATGGAGAACGGAGAAGCAGGGTGTCATATCCACAAAGAAGAGACTGCAAACTGGTTTGTAATTGATTTTAAATTCAGATTAACAGGCTGAGCAGGTGGACATACCACTCCACCAGAAACATCTCTTAATGCACTGTAGGGTGCAGATTCTAGAGATTCTTTTTTCCTTATCTCGATAAATAAGTTCATTGAAATCCCCTTTTATATTGTTGTAAGGAAACCAATTGTTGATAAAAGCGGCCTTTCTTATTTCTCAGTTTTTGTACATATTTGATTCCTTTCCTTGCCTCCTCTCCTTGCATCTTAGCTCTTCCCATCCAAAATGCGAGCGGAGGAGGTGAAATGAGTTGACAGGCATTTAACAGAGTGACGTCCTTTCAGGGCGCCACAGGAATGTTTGAGTAAATGCAACTTTTCCTGTCTTTTCTGTGGTTTACAGTTACGCACCTCCAATGATGGTTTCTCTGTTGTGGCTGACTATTTTGGCCGAGGAGTTTTTAACAAACTGACTCTGGTCACTGATCCACCTGGCAGCAAAACTGTCGGGAGCCTAGAAGTCAACCTGCAGAGAGACCTCCTCATCCACACCAAGAGAAACTGCTAGAAACCTCAGCTCGTCTGAATCCTGCCTGAGCAGCCGTCCAGCTTCACATCAGCGCTGCCTCTCACTGCACGGGATGCCACTTTATTTTGCAGCAAATGCAGCTGCCCGCTAGTACCTGTGATGGACCTGTTTGCATAATGGTGTTCCTAGTCAGAGTCATGATTCACTGGGGACTGTATAAATGAACTTTAGTTTAAAACATGTAGTACTGCGTCCTAAAAGCTTGCTTATTTAACACCTCAGAGAATGTTGCTTCGGTGTGTTTGCTTGTACTGATTGTGTAACCTTGCACATATCAAAAATAGTTCAACCATCTGTCAAATTATTATTATAATTATTGTCTGTCATTTGAACTTGATTAAAATTGTGAATGAAGTCATTATTAAGTGCATCTTCTTGATGTAGCCTTTTTTCTGGCCTTTATGGGTTTTGCAGTTTGTCTCATCTGCGGGTGGCCCTTTTTAAAATACACATAACTGGTTATATTATGACATCATATATTATATTACCATATAATTAGTGATGAGCGAGTAGATTATTATGTGCATCTGTCTAAAGTACCTGTATTCATTCTTGGAGTGGGTGGATCCCCATTAGCTTCTGTATAACAGTCGCTATTCTTCCTGGGGTGCACACAGTTCATATGGTGACAATACAAATATACACATTATTCATCACAATACAACGACACAACACATTGTTACGCACATATAGGCTACTGTAGATAAGACAATTATAGTTAACACACTCTATAGATAAACACAAAAACAAAAACTGGCTCCGACGGAATTTATCATAAATTAACAAAAATATCCTCATCATCTAACATAACTATCAACATTTCACCAGATCGCCCCTGAGACCTTCTCACACCAAAGAGTATTTATTAATTACTTAGTTTCCTTTTAAATAGTGCTCTTTTAGTATTTTTTAAAAACCATATATATTATTTTGTTGAATAATATGATTAGGAACTGAGTTGCACTGGATTTTGGTAAAGTAAAACAACTTGTAAAATAACTGTGTCCATGCTAAAGGATAGTCTTTTGTAGAACATAAATGGAGTCTTTGTTGTTATGATATTCCTATAAAAACCATCAGTGACTACAGTAATTTATTTTTCACTTCAAGCCAAGAGAGACATTCATGCATTCTCAAAATGTTTGTTCTCATCCCACAAGAAAGAGTTACACATGCTGCTTTATTCTGAACCAACTGTAATAATCCTCTATTATCAGTCACATCCAGAGAGGCTTCTCTTGAGCTTTGCAAAATGAATTTGAATCTCATTTGATTCATTTTAAGTTTACTGCAAATAAGATATTTTTAAGTGGATTTCTACTTACAGCTTTAACAAAGTAAATATATCTCTATTTGTAAATACTGTTTTAACATATTTTGCTACAGTATTGCAGCAGACCTATGCACAAGTCATCCTTTACACTGAAAACACATTTAGGAAATTAAATTAATAAATATTTATGAAAGTTATCTTGAGCTCACTCAAAATAAATAAATTGAGCAAATAAATAATTAACTAAATCAATTATTCTTAAGGTTGCATGTGGTTTACTTCACCTGGAAATGTCGTCATTCAATTTACGCCCACTATCCGGACGTGGACCAATTGGATACAGCCAGAAATCGTTTTTCGAAGTCACTCACTTCACGTGGACCAATCACGGGGTAGTGCGTGGAGCGAGGTGGGCGGGCTCTGTGTTGGAGGGTCAACGCTGGTTGTCGCACCAGGAGTCAAGACAACAGAAGATAATTACCGGAAGCAAGGGGGGTCTTTCCTTCAAAACAAAAGCACGTAGCTTACATTAATGGGACACACTATCCTTTTAAAAATAGTTTAGCTGTAATTTGAAATGACTTAAAGGTTTTCATGGTTTCCTGACTGGGAAGACATTGTAGAGTGTCTGTCTGTCGGTCGCAATACCTGTCTGTTTCTCCACAGTGTGTTTTGCTCTCAAATGCTAACCGGAAACAGTATGTTTTGTTCTCGCTAGCCTGACGTGAGTTTCCTCTCCCAGCAGCGGCTTCAGTGGATCCAATGAGGAGACGCCGCGTTCCGGGCCCGACCGCTGAGAGCAAGCCGGTGATAAGGGGAACTGAAAACTACTAAGTGTGACAACAAAGACGCCCCGTATTTAGGTCAGAACCAGCGAAACTAACCTCGGAACCCGCCCCGGGAAACCATAGTCCGTTGGTAGCCCCTTCACAGCTTCACTTGCGCCGGCTGAGGAAAGGTAAGTTCACGCCACAGCACAGTGTGTGTCAATCATGCTTTCATACAGATGGTTGTGTCAGACACAGAGCTAGCTAACAGTAGCTGTCAACTTATGTTAGAGCTCTCTCTTCCGGCTCAATAGTGTTGGATTGGATTTGGAAATGCCGACACATGTTGGAACTGAACGCTTAATGGTTAATGGTATAACGCTAAACAGTAATTGTAGTAACTTATCTAACTTAGCTATATTGCTAAAACACATCCGCAACTTCTCGTGTGACTAGCCAGTTCATCCAGCAGCTGAAAGACTACAGCTTCTTATTTATTTGCATCTTTTTGTTGTTGGAAGGATGAAGGTTTGAGGCGCATCCATTTTGCATTCATGCGTCACTGGCTCAGCGGGGGCTAGAAGTTTCTCTGCAGATTGCCTGTTGTTGTCTCCCTCACACACACACACACACACACACACACACACACACACACACACACACACACACACACACACACACACACACAGTGGTCCGGATGTTGTATCTGTAAATGAAGCTTTGGCTACAGTGTGCATTCATTTGTCCCTTTGACACTTAAACGCATCATTTCCTTAGAGTGGTTTCCTGTAGACATTAGAGCTTGACAGTGGTATCAATGCCACGTGTTTGGAAACTGAGTACACCTATGTGGGTTGGACCAGGTACTTTAGATGATTTGCATATCCTCGGGCAAAGGCCATGGCACTACCTGGAAGTGGCACACTGATCCCACTTCAACTTATTTGCAGTTACATTAGCAGTGAGGAAATGAGGAGGAAACAAACAGTGATTCATCAAAAGACTGCCTGTGATGCAAGTGTCCCTGTCTCTACTTGTGGAGAAGGCTTGTGTGCAGTGGCAAAAGGAGCAGGTTGGGCCTTTCAAGAGGGGAATCATCCTGTTCCTCATGGGGGTTGCACCTGCTCCCACATAATGAATGAAAAAGGACCAGCAACCAATGTGGACAAAAGGCATGTCCACGGTGCCCGTGCATGGATGGGTATAACTCATACCCATCCGTGCATGGATAATTCTGACTAAAATAAGACTAAAATTCTCAGACTTTTAGTCGACTGAAACTTGATTAGACTAAAAAGAGTATAAACGTGACTAAAACTAATAAAAACTAAAATGACAGTTTGACACAAAGACTAGACTAAAACTAAAATTAAAACAGGCTGCCAAAAACAACACTAGGTGTGAGTAGCAGATAAAAGGTGTTTGGGAATGATGATGGTTAGGGCTGCAACCAACGATTATTTTCATTATCCTTCAATCGCTTAGTCTGTAAAATGTCCAGAGTGACGTATTCAGATTGCGTAATTTGTCCAACCAACAGTCCAAGACCCACAGACTCTTCATTTACTGCCATAAACGACAAAGAAAAGCAATAAATCCAAATATTTCACATTGTCACAGCTCTAATGGTGGTGTACGATGAGGTTCCTGAAGATATATTTCAATGCTGAGGTTTTGACACTCTGATCAAATATGAACAAGTAGGGACATGTGAAAATCCATTCAAGTGATTATATTGTTTTTCATTTGTTCATCTTCACAGCTCATCATGGGGGGGAGGAAGCTGGCGCTGGCGGCGGTCTTCTGCCTTGTTCTGGCAATGTTGCCTTCTCACACAGGTAACATGATCCATCGACATACGCAAACACATTTGTCTAACATGAAGCCCTGGTTGTAGCAGGGAGGAGTGCTTTAAACCATTTGAGTAAAGACAGGCTGGCTTTTTTAGCTACAGCCTAGCTTTACAACTCTAATACCTACAGCTATTATTGATCTGTTTGGAAATGGATAAGCTGGATCAATAATGGAACTTTGCTGTACCTCAGGCTTTACCAGTCTGCCTTTTCAACTTATGTAACACGTGTCTTTGTGTTTGCAGCGACTGTAGCCGTCATGTCAGTCGACCTGGGCAGTGAGTGGATGAAAGTAGCGATAGTGAAACCTGGTGTGCCGATGGAGATTGTTCTCAACAAGTAAGTGTTTATTGTGATTGTGGAACAGTGTACACACCTTTTAGCATGCTGAGTTAATATGAGATTTATACAGCATGAAATAATAATTTTGCAATTATTTTAACAGTTGCTGTGTAATTTTTGCATCACAATTTTCATTTTCACTTTTTTGATTTGCATATTGCGCTTGGCCTTATTAATTGATTAATTGTGTGGCTCTAATGAAATAACATTTCAGAGTGAAAGAACATGTCTGTTTTTTTTTTTTTTTTCAGGGAGTCGAGGAGGAAAACACCCACGGCTGTATGTCTCAAGGAAAATGAAAGACTTTTTGGAGACAGTGCACTGGGAGTGGTATGACTTTTTCTCAAATGTCCTAAATTGGGTTTGATTGAATGAAGATGTCTCCTACTTCACTGTAAAGTCCATTCTCAGTGGATGTGCACTGGTGGCTTCGAGTTTCTACATCACACTGTACAAGTTGATACTGGACCAGGATGAGGCCTGTTCGAGATGAGCCAAGCCTGTGCAGAATCGATCACCACACAATACATGCCAGTTAGCTTTATGTCTGACTTAATGCTGACTCACGAGATTATGCGGCAGTTAGCTCGTCAGCTAGGCGCAGCAGTTACTTTCCACTGACTGCAAGACCCAGGGCTTGATGGGAAACACCTGGCTTTTACCTGGCTATCCTAGTTTTGACAACAAACCTCACGTTTCCCTGATTTTCTGTGTGATTTTAATATTTTTTTTATTTTAGGCTGCTGTAAACTGTTGGACTTGACTGCAGGTTTTTGTCACCTGATCTCGTTCACTTTCCAGGCGAGGCACAGTTCATCTCGAACAAGCCTAATAACTTCCAAACTATTTGTGATGTCACAAATCATGCTGTTAGGCCCTGCCCCTTAAAATCTTTTCAATGAGCACAGAGAAACTTTCCACTTTCAGCAGATGAATGTGAAAACATCCTTCTAGTGTCAAACTCTGCACAGACAGCATTCAAACAGCACACTGTAGGAACAGGAAGTAGGAAGAAACGCTGATTTCTAACTGGAGGGGGACTTTAACATTCAAATGACCTAAAAATAATACTCATCTTTTCCTTATTTGCTTTTAACAGTCACATTGTTTTACATTTCAGTCTGTGAAGAACCCCAAAACTGTTTACAGACACCTCCAAAGTCTACTGGGCAAAAAGCACAACAACCCCCAGGTGGCGCTCTACCAGAAACGTTTCCCTGAGCACCAGCTGCAAGAGGACCCGGTCAGAGGCACAGTTTACTTTAAAAACTCAGAGTGAGTCTCTTTATTTGTTCCCTTCTTCCCTTCTCATACAGTAAATGCCTACAAGTATTGATTCCACTGACCTCATAAGTCACAAGGGTGGGTTGTTGTCTCCATATAGCATATACAGTAATATGCTGCTGCACTACACTGTCACAGATCGTGTCTAATAACATGACAGGTAATGAGCTACTGTAGCTATCCTTAGGGGTAGCAGTTGCTATGGAAACATCAGTACCAGAGTATCAGCTGCAAAAACAATATCAATAGATTATAGAAAGGAACACAGCACTATTCTAGACAGGGCCCTCTAACCTTCCTTTGTGCTTTTTTTTCTGCCAGAGAAATACAGTACACACCTGAGGAGCTCCTTGGGATGGTGCTCAATTATTCTTGTGGACTGGCTCAGGACTTCGCAGGTCAGTTAGCACATGGGAGGAGAGGCCTACTTGTATGGCACGTTTGAATATGTGAAGGACATTCATTTATTTTTTTCCCCCTTTCTCCTCCTCTTCAACTCACAGAGCAACCAATCAAAGACGCAGTGATCACCGTCCCAGCCTTTTTCAACCAGGCCGAGCGTAGGGCAGTCCTGCAGGCTGCACAGATGGCAGGTCTAAAGGTTCTTCAGCTCATCAATGACAACACAGCCGTGGCCTTGAACTACGGGGTCTTCAGGAGGAAAGATATCGACAACACAGCTAAGGTGCACATCAAAGCAGTACTCCCAATACATGTTAAACAGTCAGTCTTGTCATAGTCTATATTTTTAATATTGTCAACAAATCCCATGTTAATCAAGCCAAGGTAACAATGAATGCATGTACCATCCAGTAGCCAAAGCCTGATTTGTTTTCTTCTTCTGTGCCATAGAGCTCCACTGTTGTCCAAAAGCTATTAAAATCACATCAGTGAGGGGCACCCTGGTACCTTACCTGGTAGACCTTGTGCCCCATCTACCAAGGCTGAGTCCCCCCCCCGTCTTTCTACAGCTGCTCTATCATAAAAGTAATCTTCCTTTATTACGATAAACTGTAGTTTATTTGGACTACATCCTGCTGCCCCAAATACTTACTAGAGCAGCCATTACTTACTTCCATCTTCAGTAGGAACCAATGGGCTTGGAGAATGCCACAAGCAGGTTGGGAAGTCAAAAAGTATTGCTAGATGGACTCACACTGTTGGGTTTGGTCTTTTTTATGGGATTTGTTGACAATAACAAAAACATAGAAGATCGACAGCCTTACCATGTAGTAGAGGAGTACGTGATTAGATATTTGAGATTGTTCAGATTTCTGAAAGCAGCTCTATGTCTAGGCTATATTTGACATTAATGTATCTGTAACTGTGTTCCCTTTCAGAATGTGATGTTTTATGACATGGGGTCTGGAAGCACAACTGCCACCATCGTCTCTTATCAGACAGTCAAAACCAAGGAGGCTGGCAGCCAGCCTCAGTTACAGATCCGAGGTGTCGGGTGAGTCACTGATCCATGAAGTGGCATCGCCACTGAGAATGCTTTTGTCAGCAGAGTGCTGATTGTGTCTAATGGTACAGAGAGACCAGGCTCTCACTAGCAGCCCTGTTGTCTCAAAGAGGGTTTGAAATATGTAAAAGATGTGGCCAGGTTTAGGTGTACACATTGGTTCAATGCAAGGTTAGGGTTAGGGTTACGGTTAATTTTGTCTTTTGTTGTGCATATGCAGTCAAAAAAGTGTTCAATATTAAATAAATAAATAAGAAAAAAGAAAAGACCGTTTATCAGATCCGATATTCAGTGTTTGTGAGATTATTGGGATCATTAATCCTTTTATCTGATTTTCGATTAAATACATTATTTTTAAAATTATTACTATTATAATTTTGGCTCTGATGCATTGCCTCTCTGTCTGTAGTCACCACTCTGTAATTTTGCTTAATGTCCCGCCTACAGCACTACCTGATTGGTTACATGTCATGAAAAGAGATCATTTTTTATTTTTTTTATAAGGATGACAGATTTTTATTAATTTTTTAAAAATATTTTTGGGGCTTTTATTGCCTTTATGATAGTGACAGCTGAAGACAGACAAGAAGGGGGGGCAGAGAGAGAGGGGATGACACGCAGCAGAGGGCCACAGGTCGGATTCAAACCCTGGCCCGCTGCAGCAAGGACTCAGCCTCAGTACATGGGTTACCAGCTCTATCCACTGAGTTAACCGGGCGCCCAAAGATGATTAGCATCAAAATACACTTAAAGTACCAAAAGTGCACAATGGCCCATTTCGGAATAATATATATTCTATTACTGGTTCAAAATGATGGATACATTAATGAGTTTATCACTTTCATGTTGCAGCTGGTAAAGGTGAAGCTCATTTTAGAGGCTTTATACTGCTGGGTAGCTTCATCTATGGTACATAATTTATTAGTTGACCTAAAGTTTGCCGATTCACATTATTAATACAAAGTAAAAAACAGTTATCAAATAAATGTAATGGGGTAACACATACAATATCTGCATTAAAATACAGTGCACAATATATTTATTGTAAATGTACATCGGTTTCCATTAATAACAATCTGTGTCTGGGAAAAAAAAACAAACGGAAAAAGTTGCTGCAAAACACCAGTTCTTCTCGTTTCGATTTCATAATGGCATTTTTTGTTACAGTGTAGTTGCTAGCAGTCCCTAATTCTCCAGCCTCACTCCTGTCAGCTAGGATACAGAAGTGATTCTTCATCACCCGACTCGCTGCTGCTGTTAATAAATACAGTGTTTGGAACAGACATAATAACTGACCTCTTAAAAATGATAGTTGTGGTCCCCACTGAGCCAGCTACCGAGCTGCTTCATTCAGAGTAGGTAATCATAATATAAGTCCAGGATGTTTTTGTGAGATTTTCTTTTTCTGTTTTGGCCCTCCCCATCCTGTCTGAAACTCAGAAAACAGGAAGACGCATACAGAGAACAGACCACACACAGACAGCATGCTGAGATATCGATCTCCAGCTGAAGTGTACGCAGCATTAGAAGAAGCAGATAGTCTGCCTCCCAGGTGTAACAATTGACATGTTAATTAGAGTGATATTGTGCCAAGTTGGTTTTGTTTAGGTGTTTTTGTTTGTGGAGTTTTGTTTCTCAGTAAAATGCGGCAGTGGGATACATTTTATTTCCAATCATCATCTCAGCAATGAGCCTCTTACATGAATGTTTTCAGATTTTTTCTCTTGGATTTGGAAGATAAGAAAATCCTGTGTGGGATTCATGAAACATCTGCTGACAGCCAAGTCTCTTCTTACCTGCCTGAGTATGCTGATGAATTGAGTTTACATTTGGTGCACAGGCCAGGACATTTAGAATTACCATATGCAGAATGCCCCAATAAAGAGTCGAGAACGGATACATAAATGTTTGGTACATTCAACATGGACCAGGAGCTGGTGTGATAAAATAATGCCCAACACACTTGGCTGCCCACTGACACTTATAGGTAAAGGGATAATTATCATGTTTTAATGACAAAACCTGGTTTTTGTTTGGAATTTCTTTTTCTTAACAAGTGGGAGCTTAAATGGCTCATCCTGCCTGAGCCATTAAAGCTCTAAATATCCTCCAATATGGGATTAAAGATGCTTCATGTGGGTGTTTGTTTATCCTCAAGTGTCTCTGAGTTTAAAAGATAGTAAATGCTTCCTGCTTTTGACAGTTGGTTTAAAACCACATTTTAAATTCAGTGCTTGGACTAAGGTGTGCTACTTTTGTCCTGGCTGAAGGTTTGACCGTGGATTGGGAGGTTTTGAGATGGACATGCGGCTCCGGGACCACCTGGCTAAACTGTTCAACGCGCAGCAGAAGAGCAAGACAGATGTGAGGGAGAACCACCGGGCCATGGCCAAACTCCTCAAAGAGGCTCAGAGGCTAAAGACAGTGCTAAGTGCAAACGTTGACTTCATGGCTCAGGTAAGTCCAGGGACGTGAACCCCCAACTCTGTCCATCTTGCTGGTTGTGTGGGGGAAAAAAAGTTTCTTGGTAACTTGGTGAGAAATAAACAATGTGTATTTTCAGGTGGAAGGTTTGATGGATGACATTGACTTCAAAGCTAAGGTGACCAGGGCTGAGTTTGAAGAGCTGTGTGCTGATCTTTTCGAAAGAGTGCCTCGCCCGGTGCTTGACGCACTTGCTGCCGCCGAAATGAAGCTGGTCAGTATTCTCACCACACGGCTCCACAAGTCTGATCAAGTGCAGCTTGGTAGTTCCACATGACAGGATGAGATGAAACTTTAATGCTCCCTGTGGTTAGATTTGGCTGTAGGACAGAAAAGCTGAATAGAATAAGAATAGGAAAAGAGCCCAATGGACAGCAGGCTATAGGCTCCTTTAGACATACGACATGGTATTGTTCTGCAGTTCACCACTTATTAGCTCATGCGTTTGGTTGTGCGAGTGTGTCTGTGTCTATTAGTTAATATTAGTTATTTATTTTAGCTTTTGTGAGTTTCTCCGAAAATGTAGATTTCAATATCTATTCTATTATTGTAAAGCCGCAACGTTGCTTTATTTTTGTTCTAAATAAATAGCAAAATGTTTGGACCGTTTATTGTTTATACAGTTAGGCGACCCAGGATGCATCTTAAAGAAAACTGTGACCATACTAATACATGACTTGAATTATAACACACTTGTGAAAAACTGGAAGTGTTGGTATGTCCAACTGTTAAACTCGGATTTAAAAAGATAAAGTGCACAGTGAAGCTCAAACATCACAGTGACCTAATCCAATGCTGATTTGTCGGTTTTGCTTTGCTAAATTAAAACAATTATTGTTACAGAACAATGTCGGAATACCATAAAATTATGAAATATGATTGGAAAACAAACTTGGGGTCAAAATGGGCTTCTTGGTTTGCTCTGCTGGATTATTTTAATAGGAATACATCCATCAGCTGTTACACCCAGTGTGACAAAGTAATGAAAGAGACAAAAGCAAAACTCATTAAGACAAAAACTGTTGAGGCCATCTTAAAGCAAGGACTAATGAAGTGTTGTCATAGGGCAGTCAGTATTAAATAATGGATGTGTGTGTTACTGCTGTGAATCTGAGTTCTTGTATTTCTGCCAATAGGATGAAATTGAGCAGGTGATTTTAGTCGGGGGCTCCACCCGTGTCCCCAAGGTCCAGGAAGTGCTGCTCACAGCTGTGGGGAAGTAAGTGATGTTGCTCTCATTTGATAACCGGCACTTTACGTAACTACACGTTCCAGCAGCTCTGTTTGGATTGAGAATACCTGCAGTTGTAATTGTGCATTTTTTTCCGAGCAGAGAGGAGTTGGGGAAGAACATCAATGCAGATGAGGCAGCAGCCATGGGCGCCGTGTACCAGGCTGCTGCCCTCAGCAAGGCCTTCAAGGTCAAACCCTTCCTGGTCCGAGACGCAGCCGTCTTCCCCATTCAGGTCAGTGCATGTCATTCACTGCTGCTGCAGACACATTTAAATATCACCGCTATCAACAGCTTTGTTCATAGACAAACTATATTAGTCGTTGTTGGGAAAATTATTGTTTGTGACTCAACAATCAAGTATCTTCAAGCCACCAAAGTGTCTTTATATCTTTCTTGGCCAGAATGGATATGCAGTGTTTAATGAGCAGGGCTAAAATCTAAATAGAAGGGCCTGCTTTGTTCACTGTCGCCAAATAAGATGTAAAAATTAGAGTCAGACCGATATCGGTGGGCCAATATTATAGGCTGATAAAGGCCTATTGCCGACATATTGATATCTGTGTATATATTGATATGCACCCATATGACAACTGTTTATCCAGTGTATAATGCAGAAAAAGAGGCTTGTAGTTTTTATAGTTTTTTTTATTTTTATTTTCGCAGTATTTATTTCCTGAATTGGTTGTATATGTTTAACACGGTAGCTAAGTTATTTGTGTAAGGAAGCAGCCTGCTAAGTACCTTTGCATGGTTATATAATTGCGAAATCTACATAGAACATTTTTATTCTACCATATAATCAGTACATATTCCTCTATAATGGGCATTGGCCTCAAAAATCCTACGTCAGTCGGTGCTCTAGTAAAATTAAATTCTGAATGTAAACACGTGTGATTTCATTCCTTTAGGTGGAGTTCACCCGTGAGACAGAGGAAGAGGGAATTAAAACTGTGAAACACAACAAACGTATCCTCTTCCAGAGAATGGCGCCGTACCCCCAGCGCAAGGTCATCACATTTAACCGCTACAATGCTGACTTTGCTTTTGACATCAACTACGGCGACCTCAGCTTCCTGAGTCAGGAGGACATCAGGTTGGATAGCTGCTCGCTATAGCTTTTATTTTTTTATTTTTTTATTTTTTTTGCTTCACGGAGCTCTTGAAAAAATATGTCTGCACAGAAATTGAATAATTTAAGCAGTGTTAATGAGATTTCATGACTGATCGTTACAGAATACTTGAATTTTCAACTGTGTTTTGACCCATCATGTATTTGAATATAAGCTTTGTTCTCCTCTCTTCCTGTTGCTGGTGTTCTGCAGTGTGTTTGGCTCTCTGAACCTGACCACAGTCAAGCTGTCTGGAGTGGGCAGCAGCTTCCAGAAACACACAGACGCAGAGTCAAAAGGCATCAAAGCCCATTTCAACATGGATGAAAGCGGAGTGCTCCTGTTGGATCGGGTCAGTTCAACTTTCTGACCAATTCAGCTTTTTTATTGAACACTCAAACCAGTGACTGGTAGTGCCTTTTTGTTGCAAGGACACAGTATTTGTGTGCTTCTTACCTACAGACTTATTGGGTTAGACTTGGACTGTGTTGCTGTTCTGCCCTCCCTCCTGGTTGCCATGGTGGTCAGTGAGGCTTACTGATATCAAAGCCAGAAACACTTGACTCAAGGAAAATGTGCTTAACTCTAAGGAGATTAATGAAAGTGAACAAACATCTGAGGATTTATTATTATTAATCACATAATAACCAGCTCAGTTTCTAAATCTACACTACATCTTTCTTTATTCTTTGAGCTGAAACATAACATAATGCCCCAAATGAATGAAGAACGATACCTGTGTACTGCACTATGAAGCAGTCTGTCTGTGTCAGTATATTTATTATTATTTGTCAGCTAAATAATGACTGTAAAAGAAGCTTATGTAAGGAAGGGAATGCATTTCAAATCAACTAATCATGTATTTGAATAATCACAGAATCTAAACTCTTTCATTTGTACCAGTCAATCAAGTTAACATTTCATTACTGTAATTTTCAATTACAGGTGGAGTCTGTCTTTGAAACTATTGTGGAGGAGAAAGAAGAGGAATCGACCTTAACTAGTAGGTTTTTGCAAACATATATCTGTAAGATCAGTGTTAGTAGAGTGCACTTTAGGCCCTGTCTTCATGGAGGTGCAATAAGCAGTGCTGTTTGCACAGTGTTGTCCAGTGCAAACGTGGGAGGGGAAAAACAAACCAGTTGGAGGTTCATTCAAATGAGGCAGTGCAAAGCAAGCTGTTGGTTTTTTGTGGATGATGGTGATGGTTCTAAGACGTGTTCTCAATGTTTTCGTTACTGTAGAATGAGCCATTTTTATCTACAGATGAAGCAGGTCCTCTTCTACAGTGGCCATGTTTCTATAGAAGCCCAGAACGGGCCTTTTGCATTTGGAAGGCGAATGGTATTGAGTTGCTTGTAATCTGCACCTACACTGCTAGATGTCACTAAATCCTACACACTAGTCCTTTTCTAAGTAAAGGGTATAGAATCATAATGATAATCATGTGTAAAACAGTCTGCTTTTATCTGTAGATGAGTGGTTCTCTCTCTCCCTTTGCTTTATACTATACATTAATAAATTGTAAATGCATTATAAAGCGATACAATGCTTTGGCCCCACAGTAATTCTGTGCTTACTCACACACACTTTGGACCAATGTGGAAAAGGAAAGATTAAGTCACATTGCTTGAGGAGTCAGTAATCGAATCCCCGACCTTCTGATTAGTGAACAACCCGCTCCAACCCCAGCTGCAGCAAAGTCTTTGTTTATTTTGATTAAATTACCTGATTGCTCCAAAATAACTGCATAGATGGGTCAGTTAGAACTCCGTACCTCCTTTCCTAGCGCTGTGATCCACTATGATGCATCTATTGTATTATTTAAGATACAAGATCAGTACTATTAGACGATCACTAGCGATTCTGTTGGTTGATTGTTGACTTGTAACAGCTTTTAGAACAAGACTCACTCGATTCATGCATACAGCCTGCTTCACTCATTACATAACTGAGCCAACACTTTGCTGTCTTTCAGAACTGGGCAACACAATTTCTACCTTGTTTGGAGGAGGATCATCAGAACCCGCCCCAAATGTAACTGAACCTGTCCAGGTACTCGCAGCTCTGTACACGGCACAGCTCAGTCAATCAGAGACACATTCATTTAGAATATACAACGTTATTGATAAAAATGAATGTGCACACAAGTATAGGGCCGGCATTGTTCACGCATGCCTCGGCTGACATCATTGTAGCTAACCTCATTCCCTGGTGGTTTTTTTTGTGTCCAGGACGAGGAGGAAGTGCCTCCAGAGTCTGGAAAGGACGGCAAGGACGAAGATGGTAAGGAAGAGGCCCAGAAGGACGAGGCCGCCAAGGAGAAACAGGAAGATTCTGAAAAAAGTGCAGGGGAAGAGAAAAGTCAGGACAAGACTGAGGAGGCAGGTAGCAAGACTGATGCCAAGGTAAGACCTGTTTTATGTGGTTCTACATTTTTTTACAGCACTTGTCGAAAATATATATTGAAGAGAGACTAGCATAGACAGACTCAGTATTGAAAGTAACCACATTTCTGCTGGTGAAGGAGGAGAAAGACGGAGATAAATCTGAAAACGCTGAGGCAGAGAAGGATGTGGAGAAGAAGGCTAAACCTCAGAAGAAGAGCAAGATCTCTGAAGACGTCACAGTGGAACTCATCATCAACGACATCCTTGACCCCACTGCAGATGATGTCACTTCCTCCAAGAAGAAGTAAAGCATCCATTTTCCATTCTTTTCAGCTCTCGTACTGTTTGGGTCTTTGTTATTGTCTAAAACTACTTTGTGTCTTTTCAGGTTGCAGGATTTGACAGAAAGAGACCGGGCCAAACAGGAGAGGGAAAAGACACTGAACAGTCTGGAAGCTTTTATCTTTGAGACACAGGTAAGCAAAAGAAGATTATTTACATTTTTAACTCCAACATCACTACCACATCCCTACCATACACTATTTTTTTAGGAGGGCAAGGGATCATTAGGGGGCGGTACCAGGTCAACAGTATGTGACACATAGAAGTGGTATACTTCATCTGAAAGCTGGGAAGATGCAGATTCATTTTAGATGCAGCTCACTGTGTGTCAAGTTTTGCTAGTCATAAATCTCTAATAAACATGTGTTTTTTAGGTGTCTGTTCATATTCATAAAGTTTAGAGTGTATAACTCAGGACCAAGCACCTAACCTGGGGCGACAGAGCCTTCTCTGTAGCTGCCCCCTCCCTCTGGAACTCTCCCCAAACACATCCGTGACTGTACAGACCTCCCACATTCAAATCTCTGACAAAAACTCACCTTTTTAAAATTGCTTTTAATGTTTAGCTTAGTCTGATGTGTTTTTAGTGTTTTACTATTTGATGTTGTTTTGCTGCTTTTATGTTTTTATGTAAAGTGTCTTTGAGTATTCAGAAAAGCGCTTATAAATATTATTATTATTATTATTATTATTATTATTATTATTATTATTATTATTATAAGACTGGTTGATACCGTTTGTTACACAGATTTAGTTAGTTAGTAAACATTTTTGACCTCTTGGAAATTGATCAAAAATCATCCAGAATACCACATTAAGACCCTGAGGAACACCATAAAGGAAATTTCTGTAAGAATTGCACATTATGGGGATTGCATGGTGGGCACTTCTGTTCTGGAAATTGCTCAGAGAGCCCTTTGTTGACAATAAAGCTAGGAAAGCCATCCATCCTAGGGGTCACGTTTTTGCTTGTACTGTTTCATGAGGCTGTGATTATCCTAGAGGTCATTTTATACCAAAACATGGTCACACTACAATGTAATTGCTACTATTGGGACTGACATCATTACACATGAATACAATTCAGCTGGACTCATTGAATCCACAAGTCTCTAGTCATATCCCAAGTATGCAATTCCAACACTATTTGTAGACTCCAATATGCAGAAAAATTCAAATACACTATTGAAAATATTACATTTATAGTGCATACAAAAAACTGCTGTTTTTTTGCCTAAAACTGCATTGGATTAGCATAAAGTGGACATGTAAAACCGAGAATCATGGGTACTGATAAAATCCATTTCCATTGAGATACCTTGAGGTCAGCGGAGTTGCCAGTGCAGGTTGGAGGAAATACAAGCCAACATTATTCTAAGATGTTAAATCATTTAATGTAAAAACCCAACCAGTGAAATCAGAAATTAGGCTGCAGGAGAGAAAACAGGATGTATTCTAATAGTGATATGGGACCATATGACATGTGCCTTGTCCCAGAAAACACACAATACTTAAATTCTTTCTCTAGGACAAGCTGTACCAGGAGGATTACCAGCTGGTGGTGTCGGAGGAGGAGAAGGAGCAGATCTCCGCCAAGCTGAGCGAGGTGTCGGAGTGGATGGACGAGGACGGCTACACGGCCACCACCAAGCAGCTGAGAGAGAAGCTGTCTCAGCTGAAGAGCCTGTGCAAGGACATGTTTTTCAGGGTGGAGGAGCGACGCAAGTGGCCGGACCGCCTGGCCGCCCTGGAGAGCATGCTCAATACCTCCAGCTTCTTCTTGAAGTAAGTGTCAGAACGGAGATGTAAAGAAGCTGGAGATGACTTTATGGTGGGGTAGTAGTAGTAGTAGTAGTAGTTTTCTATTGACAAATGTTATTTTTCTTTCAAAGGAGTGCCAAACTGATTCCTGAGGATGACCAAATCTTCACTGAAGTTGAGCTGAATATGTTAGAAAAAGTGATCAATGAAACAACGGTAAGCGGTGAATGAATTTAGGTTGTCACTCTGTGATCATACTATTGAGGACTGCTTTGGATGATTGTTGCCTTACTCATTTCCCTAAATGAGGACTTGCAAAAGACAGATTAAAATAGAATGCTCAACATTGATGCAGCAGAGAGAGCCTAACTTTTAATCTCTAGTATGGGTCAAATTCCAAAAATGCCTGATCCTGCATTTCCCATAAGGCAACTCAGTAGTAACTTTATTTAGATCCTCCTAGTTCAAGCTGATATAATCCTGATGACACTGCTGTGACATCATCAGAAAAGTCATTTTAACTGTGCTACAAAGCCAAACCTCAGTAGCTACAATTCTGATCAAAACTGGCTTATGACTAGGGATGACTTTGCCTTTTCACTACCTAGGGATGGGACAATATGACATTTTTATGTCACAATTATTCTAGCCAAAATAATTGCAATAATCATCAAAACTGTAAGTCACTTTACCTTACTTTTTAATTAAACACATTTTTGTTGCAACGCAGATAGGAACCTCATCTCCCCACCATCCATAGTATTTCCACACATCTAGTTGAACTTTTTCTTGTCGGGGATACAACGGGCCGAGCCTGTATCCTAGCAAGCCAGACAGCTTTTTCAAGTCACTTTGAGGAGATTCCTGATTATCCTAATGATGCAAATTCACAATATGCGATAATATTGTATATTGTCCAGCCCCAGCACTGCTTGTATATCTGTTCAAGGTAAAACAAAGGTAAATCTGCATTTTTGGCGTCATCGGTCAAATAATTAGTCATGTTTTTTTAAGCCATAGAAATTACTTAAAGAATACATATTTAATAATCAAAAAACTGCTGTTTTACCTACAATGCATTTGAATGGACAGTCAATGGCAGTTCCTCTTTGTAGGGCAGAACTGTTTTCACAGGCTGAGTAATTCTCCTTGTAGGGTGTAAACTGACCTCCATGTTTATAATTGTCTCTGTGTGCTCCAGACGTGGAAGAATGAGACGGTAGCAGAGCAGGAGAAACGCTCTCCAAAGGAGCGTCCCATCCTACTGTCCAAAGACATCGAGTCCAAGCTGGCTCTGCTGGATCGAGAGGTCAACTACTTGCTCAACAAAGCCAAGTTTGCCAAGCCAAAGGCTAAAGCCAAAGCCAAGAACAGCACCAGCTCTGATAAAAGCAGCAAGGCCAATAATACGGCGGAGGAGAAAGTCATCCCTCCCACAGAGGAGAGCACAGACACAAAGAGTGGTGGGTCAAACCTGCAAAACTCACCTGTGACTATTAGTGTTCTCGGGTAAATATGAAAACAGAATTAGAACTGTAATAAGGCTTCAAATAACTTCTCGTGTATATTTTCTTTAAAATGCAGAAAGCCCAGACGAGGCGCAGCCAGGGGAAGCCCCGCCCACTGACGACAACGCTGTACACACAGACTCAGACAGCCAATCACAGCCCACAGAAGAAACAACAACCACAGGTCGGTCTGCCATACCTGTTGCTGATACCGGAGAACTTTAGGGGGTGGACAGAATAAAAAGTGGGCAGATACAACACTAAACTACAGGCTCAGACATCCCCACTGAACTGAACGATCTCCTCACTGACACAGGCTCTACACAGACGGAACATTACATTACTTCTGGACTGTTGTGATGGATTGCATTAGCATGTCAATCATTCTGTTACTTAAAGCTTCAGTTGGTAATTTTCATAAAAATGTTTTTGTCACATTTGATGAAACTTTCACTATATCCTGACAGTAGTACATGAGAGAGATAACGTGTGAAAAAATCCTGTTTCTCTGGCTTGTTGTAGTGCTCATTGGCAAGAATCCACTGGGCCTGAATGAAACTAATTAGACCCAAGAAAGATTGATTGTTGAGTCTCATTCCCAGGATATAGTGAAAGTTTCATTATTACATTAATTAGCACATTAACATACACAGAGGTATTCTGTGGTGCTATTCCTTAGTATATTATTATACTAAATGTAGTTGTTACTCATTAATTCAATTCTCAAATACGGAACATCAAATTGTAATAGTAAAACAAGTTAGTCATAGCAGAAGGGGAAATTTGATCACAAGGAAAGGTAATAACAAAAACCAAAATGTCATGAAATTGGTTCGATTGTGCTTCTGTTGTTTGACCTGCTGAAAACTTAATAGGTCCTGCATAATAATGTGATGTAATTTATGACATTAAAGCATTACCTTCACATCTCATCCAAAGTAGCATTTGTTTTACATTTTGACAAGTTATTACATAATAATATCTGTCACAGGAGGAGACGGCAGCAGTCTTCACATACAGTTTTCTCCCACTGGCATGTCAGATGTGAAATGTAATTGCCTAGCCAATAGAAAATGCAAATAATGGTTTTCACAGCAGCCATTTTGACATGAAATAGTAGGGTAAACACAGTGGCTACAAATGATACTAATAAAGGCTGCATTCCATTTAGTATAGCTGAGCTTTTCCAGTGAGCCAACATGCACAAATAACAGCACACTGACTGACCCGAGTGGAACAGAACCTTAATAACTGACCCTTCCTAAGTCTGGCCCCTTTTGGAACGTTCTCCTTTCCTCTACTTAGATATGCTAAGTGCTAGGCTCCTCTATGTTGAAAAGACAACTACGTTTTAAAGAGGGTTAAAGATAAGTGATCATAATCATAATAGACTGGCCTATTTGATGTCTAACATTTCAAGAATGATTCTACTGCCTTCAGAAACAGCTCCGAAACCATTTGTCATAGTCAGACATGCATACTGTATTTGAACATTAGCAGAACCAGGTCTGCATGTTCCCTCTTCTTCCAGCCAAGGCCTTTTCAAATGTCACAGCCATTCAGCCTCTGCTAACAGGCTTTACCATAGCAACAGCTTTTTGTCTGTCTTATTAAATCAGTAAACATGGCCTTGAGTTACTTGCCACTTGTAGCTCTGGACTGGAGAGAGAACATACTCGCTATAGAGCGTCTGTTTTTCTGTTCTGATAAACTGAGTTGACTTAACCTCACATACACACAGTATTCATTTTTTCTCTCTGTCCTCATTTCCAGGACCAACAGAGAAGGCCCAACCTGAAAACCACATAGAAGATGAATTATAACAGCTGGAACTGGGGAAAAAAATCACTATATTTATTGACAGTGTATAAATGTTCAAGTTCCTTCTCACTCTCTGTTTTTGTTTGGTTGTTTTCTCTTTTTTTTTTTTTTTTTTTTTTATGCCCCTGTGTATTGAACCGCTGGAACCTGATTGGATAAGGATTGAAGACCAGTCACCTTGTTCCCCTTTCCTCTTCTGTGCTTTTCATCTCTTCTGTTTGTCATGGATTCTGTAAGCAACGGACACTTAAACACCATGAAGAAGTAGTTCAACTAAAATAAAGCCCAAGAGGACGCAGTGCAGGTCTGCAGGTTCAAATGAAACATCTTCCCGTGTCCAACGAATGATGACATCGATGCTGATACAGAGGGAGATGGAAGCAGTGCTCGGCCACATCGGTTTAACTGTATGGATGTTTGACACGGATAAGTGTTGTTATACTCTGGTTTGTCATTTCCTGCCTTGTCCTCGGCACTGTATCACTGTCACTGTTTGTCCTAACACCTGCACCTTCACTGACTTTTCATGGCCCCTGATTGAGTGCACTACCTAACGGTGCTGGCCACAGCAGAGGGTGAGGGGTGGTTTAGAGTCCTTTGGAGGATTCCTCATGCGTGAATTCCTTTGCTCCAATCCAGAATTTATTTGGCCATATAATTCGAAGGTAGTTTTGTAGAAAACGTCACACTGCAGACAAATCTGCCCAAATCAAAAAACAAACAAAAAATGCCATCAAATAAATCAGAGTTGAGTCTTAAGGTTGCAGTGTGAACGTAGCCAAAAAGACATTACAAACCCCCTAAGGTTCATTTAAGGTTTTCTTTTTTCTAATTACTGCTGGGGTCTGTCATGTAGCAGTTGATGGTGGTGGTTAACTGCTCAGGTGCTCCTCTATGTGCAGATTGACAACTAGAACTAAAACTGAGCTGCCAAATAGGGAAGAGTCAACATTGTGTCTCTACTCTGCTCCACTTCTGATACAGCTGGATGAACTAATATGACGCATGAATTTTTCTACTGATGCCAGTACAAGCTTGAATGTCTTTTGGTGGCAGAGGTCAAACTCCATGTTTTCTCATAAGCTGCTAAACGTCGTAGAAGAGTTGGTGTGTTAGTGTCGTCACTGCTCTTTACCTCAATGTGCCCCATGGTGCAGATTCACGTTCTGATGTTGGCTCCATTTTTCCGTTACAACAATTGGGGGTGGGTCAGCTGTGTGCTTCTGTGTTTGCAGCACTTATTGGAAGGGGGGATTTGAAGAAAACAAAAGTTAGAAATGAAAAACAATGTTGTGTTTCTAAACTGTTAATAAAAATCTTTTTTTTTTGTTTTTAATTTGTCAACTTGTTGTTGTATAAACATGATTACTTGATCTTACTTCAGGGTGGCTGCATTGGGTGCAGGGTCCACCCAGGGTCCACCCAGGGTCCACCCAGGGTCCACCCAGGGTCCAGTGTTTGTGTTTGTTTAGAAACTGTTCTTGCCCTGACCAGAGAGCTAAAGGAGCGTGTGGGTTGTTAAAGGGACAGTTCACCCCAAAATCAAAAATACATATCTTTCCTCTTACCTGTCTTGTTATTTATCCATCAAGATTGTTTTGGTGTGAGTTGCTGAGTTTTGGAGTGATCAGCCTACAAATAAATATAACTGAACCAAATGGCGCTCGGCTCGTGGTGCTCAAAGCGGCATAAAAAAACTACATTTGAAAAACTCAGTGGTGCTAGGTGACCTAGCTAACATTACAGCTCAACAGAGGAGGACACAGTTAATGTTTACAGATAAGTTCCCATATGACACTGCTCACAACATGGTCTGTGGATTATCTTGAGGAGCTGGGTCATGATTTCTGGAAAGAGACATTGCTGCTGACTTTTTCAAATTTATTATTTTTTTTAAGTGCCATCTGGTTCTGTTATATTGGAGAGAAGGCCGATATCTCCAAAACTCAGCAACTCAAACCACATGTAGATGGATAAATAGCACTACAGGTAAGAGGAACACTATGTATTTTTGATTTGTGGTGAACTGTCCCTTTAAGCCAATACCACTCAGCTTTGTAATTTGTTCACTTTGTTCCAGAAAAATGCCCAGGAATGACAAAGTAAAAAATACACTGAAATACCTGACCTGATGGTGTTGACAAAGAAAAAAAATGTCTTGTTCAACCTTTTGTTCCAAGGCTGATACATAAATCAGGCCATTTGATATCCTTCCACTGCTGTACTCTATTATACCTTATCTTCAGTTTTCATTAACGTTTAAATGCTAACTGGAGGTTTATGCAATTAAGTCTAGCATTGAATATTTTAATGGCAGCTAGCTTCCTGCTAAATTGCATCACAGTCACTGAAATGTTTTATCAAAAGTTTAAAAAAAACTGATCTTTGTAGTTTTTTTCATATCTGTACTGTCATACCTAAAATATTGAAAAAATCCATTTACAATTTATTGTGTTAAAAAATGTAAAATTCAGAGAAAGTGAAAAGTTGCTTTGAGTTTGCAGTCTCAATGAAAAGTGGTCCTGTGATTGTAATTGATAAAGCCAATTTATAGGTTTTATTCCTCCTGTAAGGAAATTAATATTATGTTGAAATCTCTTTTTCCTTTGCCACCTCTACTGTCCCAGGCTTTGTCCATGGATCCTACAGAATGTCTTGCGTCACCCCTTTGTGTCAGCCACTGAGTTAAGACAAGTAAGTGATGAATGTATACCTGCCTGTGTCACATTGACACACTGCCACAAGGACTGACCTGAAATAAAACAGCGAACAGCCAAAGATCATGTTATCAAAAGAGACAGATCAACAGATTTTTCTCCAGGCTTTACAGCTAGCCCAAACTCTCTAGAGGGAATTAAATAACCTATTTGCATGCACTCATGAAAGGTATGACACATGTAGACAAAATAATAAATGTTTTAATTTTAGAAATACCAATATAAAAGTACAGTATTGTAGCTTTATATATCAGTTTTGTGACATCTTCTAAATGGATCATTAAGAAACACCATAAATATTCACCATTAATAATGACAGTTACAGTTTTGTCAAACACATTCATTAGATTCAAAAATACATAGACTTCTGAAGCTTTAATAGTTATAAAAGTATTTTTTTATAAAAACCCTGAATGTGAGCTACCTATCACCCTGCTTTAGTAACAAATAACCATTCCCCTCAGTTCCATTACCCAGTATAACATGAATACAGCCTAAAGCAGTGTCCAAGGCTGTAATGTATAGTTAGAGTGCATGTGTGTGCTGTTGTTCCTGTCTGCTTTGTTGGTGGGAGAGGATTAACTTGATATCACTGAAATATATCCAACAGTAAAATTGAGACCCCTGTGGACAAAAGCGGTAGTGTTTCCATCGCCTTGTTTGTTTGAATTTTTCCTGAGCCTAATCTACTCAGTTACTTTCTACCACTGCAGACATATAGAAGCATTTTATTAAAGACCGCAGTAATGCCAAACTGATATAATGCATCAGAAAACCCTTTTTTTAAACTGTGCAAAGTGGTGTGAAGAAATTGGGAACACTTTCATATATTTCAAATCCATATGTGTCATTAGAACCTCTGAAATGAGCCAAAAAGGTTGTAGTTGTAGTTACCGTGTTTCATGAGATTATCATGTTTTTTATATAAAATCTTAACTGTAGCTGTCAGATAACTGAAGTGGAGTACTACATATCCTGTTGAAATGTAGGCTAATGAAGTAAAATATAACTAAAAGTACCTCAAAATTGTACTTAAGTACTTGAATCCTGTCAGACAACAGTAAATATGAGACTCTTTCAAGGAACTTTCATTTTGTATTGATTCTGTGGAAGTGTTTCCACTGCCTTGTTTCATTGATTTCATTGATTTAGAAATAGCTCTTCCAAGCTTAAATCTTCTCTCTGGTGGTCTTGTTTGTTTTTATGTAGATCATACAGAGGCATCAGTATTAAACTGAGACTGTTTGTTAACCTGTTAAAAATCCTTTCTAGGCTAAATGAAAGTTAAATTGATATATTAAAAGATACAACTTTGTGGTCTTCTACTATCGTATGGTTATTTAAAGGAACCTTTATTGTATAAGACCAACAATTAATGCAGAAGAAAGAGACTTTTGCTCTCACCCAGTTATCACAATGCTCCCATGATACTGTAGGCCATATAGTATGAGAGAATGAAACATGACAAAATCCTTTTCAAGATGTATTCACCCTTTGTCACTGTTGTGGGTACAGGATTGTTTTGTTGAAACTGATTTTAGAGTTGTACATCTGGTGAACAATGAAAGCCACCAGAGTAAGGCAGATGGCTCCGACGATGCCTGCCACGACTGAAACAGCCAGCATGCTGCTGTTCATATGAGTCTGCTGAGCACCTGGGAAAGGAAAGAAACACCAAGGATTAGACCACATATAGCAATGTACAGTTTATATATCAATGAGCATGATGGAAACTGTATTTATGTACTACATGTATGTATTTAGCTCAGAAGCCAGTTGGTTTCCCTGATCATCCTTCCAGTACATACATTCTAATCAGATGAACCGCCTCAGCTGGCTCCCTCAAAGGGGGTCAGTAGCTATGCTTCAAACAAAGTGCTAGCCAGATCATGCATTCGGAACAATGTCTACAACCCCTTTCTCCTCACACCTTTCCGGTATAGAAAGATTGTTAGCTTTCCGAAACAGTCAATCCAACAATTCTTCTCACACACTTTCTTCACTGTTTGTATTAACAACCAAGTGGAACAATGATGCCTTTCAGGGGAAACTACCCTGAAAGGCATCATTGATAATGATAAGTTAATAATTATTTGTTGGTTCATTGTTCATTGACATTGTCACTGGGTTTTCACATTGTCATTTTTTCCTCTGTTCTAATTGTAATGCTTAAGGTACCAGTATGCTCCATCAGAACTGCTTGTCGGACGGTTAAACTAATTCAGAAACCCACTCCTCCACACCTTTCTGACACCAGAATTGGGGGGGACTGGGTCAAAAAATTCTAACTAGGTCTATCTGTGGGTACACAGTATTACAGGACACGCCTTCTACATGACACCCCTAAAGGGCACCTAAAGTACCTCTTAATTTTAGGAAAAGATTGTGGTTTGGGTTCAAATAAGTATGTCAATCCAGGACACTATCTGTGTAGTAAAGTGGGTGTGTCATGTATTCTGTGAGACTGCAAATAGACCCTTCTCAAAAAGATGAAATCTGACATTCTCACTCACTTCATGCAGTGACAGGACAGCCTCTAGGAAGAGGCCCCATTTGGCAGGTAAGGATTCTTTGTCCAACCATTGACTTTGGATAAATTCACTCACACTGCATCCTATTATTCCCTGTGAGCCTTAATAACTTGTGTGTATATGATCAGGATAACCTAATGATGTTGTTGTCAATGATCTCGTCATCTGTTTTGTTTGATAAAAGTACAGGGAATTAACTCATGTTGACAGTGTATGCATACCTCCAGATGTCATCAGATACCCTGCAAGAGAACAAGAGAAACCTTCAGTTCATTCATGACCAAAACAACCCTCCAATCAACTTATGCAGACTGATATTTGACAGGTATGATTCTTCGTTACTTCTCGCTATCTCAAGATTCTGAGGCGTCATCCTATCAAGACCATCCTCACCGTTGTCTAGGCGGGTAGTGATGGGGCCTGAGGTGATGGTGGCCATGTCGCTGACTTTGGTGCCCTGGTTGTCGCTGACACTTCGGCGCCTCCTCGAGTTGGTGCAGTTCTGCAGGTGAATCAAGTGATTATCATTTTGGACAGTTTTCTAGGAGAAATAAAGTACCCTAGGCTGTTAGAGTGTAATAATAGTATTTGCAAACCAGTATCATGCCAAGCATTAAATACAAACTTACTCGTCACATTTTACATCGCCTAGGCGAGGCAGTATCACGTTTTCAACACATGCTCATTCTGTGATGGAGTTAGCACTAATAAATATGCAATATCTGCTTACATTTTCAAATAAAGCTTGCTGAAGAGGCAGTTAGGTCAGGTTTAGGGAACAAAACTACTTGCTTACTTTTAGGAAAGGATGGTACCTGAGAATCGTTGACTTTTGTTTAGCGGTTTCATCAGTGAGAGTCCTGTGTTTGTTTGAACCATCAATCCACCCTGCATTCTCCAAATGTTCTTGTTGCTCTATATACACTGACACTACCCACTGGCGGATTAGCGGGTCTCTTAATCCTTTTGACATGAGACTGGGCTGTATTTGAGTAGCAGTCAAATGTCAGCTTTCCATGAAAATACAATAACTACTGTACATGAAACTTTACATCTAGATTCATAGCATAATATCATGCCACTGGACATAGCGTGTGCTATACGTAGCAGGGGTATGTAGCAGGAGAGTGGGTGTTTGCATCCTGTCAAAGCCAAACACAATCTTTTCTGACCTTAACCAAACTGTATCTGCCATGGGTAGATATTGTAAAAATCTGGAATAAAAAAACATTGAATGTAATGCAGGGTTTTGCAGACTGGTTCAATTCATGTATGTGACATGTTTGCATTTGTGATGTGTGTAGCACCTGGAGGCAGAATCTGACCTGAACGAGGTTTGGGCAGAAGGAGTTCACACAGAGCCTGGTAGCGCAGTGCACGTAGTACGTGGAGAAAGTTTGGTCTGTATTGTGGATAAAGCGGAAAGCCTCAAAGGAGAAGCGTGCTTCCTGCTGCAGTCCGTTGACTCCCATTACTGTCTGGCCATCTCGGTTACACCTTGAAGAGGACAGATGGTTATGTTTTTGTCCTGTTCTTCAGGGGTTTCTACCAGGTTTCAGTCTGACAAAAATTTTGAGATTCTGAACAGCAGAGGGGATGCCCTCTGGTTTAGCATGGGCCTTGTTCACAGCTGCTTTTTTCACTTAAACAGATTGATAACGTGTCCCTCCTGTTTGTAGAGGTTTTTCATAAACTTGCATATATAATAGGAATACTAAGAATAGGACCAAAAGTGTTGATTAACTCTGATTTTTCCGTATGGAGCATCCCCCTGGAAGGTTCAAAGCAGACATATTGTATTTTGTAATTTGTGAAACTGATGTGGAAAAATCTTGTTAGTGCACCTTTATTTATAAGCATTGTCCCTGTGTTGAAAAGCTTCTCTAAAACTGAGTCAAGTTGTTTCACTTTATGTATCTCTGTGCGCTGATAACCCACCCAACAAAGAGATCGTGATGTGAGGTGTTGACGGGGAAAGGCGAGGTTGTGGCGTAACATCGGTCTAGGAGCACGTTGAATCTGCAAAGGAGGAGTTAGTCATTTTTTACCAGATATTTGAGATTGAAATGTCAGTATGTTCTTTATTGTGCAAATCATGTTTGGTCTACTTCAGCTAAAACATGTGTGAAGTACCTGTTTGTAAGGTTGGACGCCTTCACTTCTACAAAGATCCTGGTCTTTAGCTCCAGGCCTACTGGTGGAATCTGCAGCACGGAAGAGTAGCTTTTGTCCTATAGGCCCAATAACAGAAAAGAGATAAGGATGTTGTTTAGATTGATACACAAGTTCTTTGAGTTCCAGTATCAGCTTAAAGTTGCCCAGCCCTCCACACCACTGGAGGGCAGGGTTCATGCCAAAGTTGTTGTCTGGGCTACATGATGCAGAGCCATGTTATTATAATTAGATAAGCATTGCTCTATGATAGTATTTTCATCATTAGCAGACAGAGGAGATGGACCATAGCAATGTTTCAGTTTTAATCCAGCAAGTCATCAGTCATGTCGAAAGAAACTCAACTCTTCTTTATATACCTGTTAAGTAATTAAAATGATAAAATAAAGGAAACCTTAAAGACATTCAGTAATTTTATGACCATTTCATGGCCTGAAATTATAGATGAGTCTCCAAGTCAGCATAAATTACTGTAAACCTTCAGAATGTACTTCAAGCCGAAGCATAGGCAAACACAGTCATGTCTTTAGTATTCAGTTTCTTTGTGTTTTGTTCTTTTCCAACGTCTCAAGATCCTGGTCTGTTTGCAGCCAGCTCTCCCTCCCTTCATCTGTGGGATGAACTGCCTTACCATCCTCCATCCTCTATTCCACCTTCCCTCTGCCATAACCAGCCATCCCATCTCCATAATCCATATCCAACAACCGTAAATATTCAATAAATGCCCTAGACTGAAAGATTAAAAGGATAGTTTGACATATTGGGAAATATGCTCAATTGCTTTCATGCTAAGAGTTCAATGAAGATTGACTCCAGACACATTTTATATATGATAATATTATATGATATAATATAATATATCATATGATAATAACTTGGATGTTGCAATGGCTCACTTGGCTCACTTAATTGTCTTTTTATCATTCATTTCAACTAAAATAATTCCGTGGCTATCTTAGTCTTTGTTATATTGGCCAATCAGACTATATTGACCAGCTGTTTTGGGGGCTTTTTTGCCAAATATATTTCAGTAATAGTGTGTGATTTAATGTCTTCCTTCTGAAGTTAGAGGAGCAACAGTGTAGTTTTTCTTGTACATGGTTTCCTTGATTTTCTGCTGAGACCTCACTCTTCTTACCGCGTAGAGTCGCATGCTCAGTGTGCTGACGAAACTTCCGTTATTGTCTTTGACTGCCAGGCTGACCCCAGACCTGTTGGACAAAAAAATGTTTTGTCAACAGCTGGAAATTGTTGCTGGAAAAACCCAAGTTGTCAACAACCAGGTCATCTTTCATCTGATGCATAAGGGAACAACACACCAAGGTGAGATTCAAGCCCTACTGAAACGAGACACGGGAGTAACTGACACCTCTGAGGACACTGGCTGTTCCATGAAGCATAACCACATATGGTAACTTGATCATTTCTTTTTTATTTACATAATTTCTTTTAATCTAAATGTGACGAATGTGAGACCCAATGATGGGAAATAAGAGGGAGAAAAGTTGTAGGACCATAACGTGACTCTTTCTTACATATAGTCAACCTGAGCTGAGGTTCATTCACACAAACATGTTTTAATATAAGAAATCAAAAACATGACTTAACCCTTACTATCCAGAGCTAAATACATTTACCCTCATTTCTATTGATTTAATTTGACACACAGCTACTGTGATTACTTTAATCCATTTATTTCCCATTTGCAAGTGAGGAATTAACTAATCACACTGTCATCAGTGATTTGCAAATGCATTGTCCAGTGTAGAGATTATTTTTTAGTCTAATACTGATGACTCAGGGCGCCCGGATAGCTCACCTGGTAGAGCTGGCACACCCATGTAGTGGGTGCAGTGGCCCCGGATTCAAGTCTGACCGATGGCCCTTTACTGCTTGTCATCCCCTCTCTCTCACCCCATTCCTGTCACTATCAGTTGTCCCTATCCATTAAAGGCAATAAAAGCCCCCCAAAATATATAAATGAATACTGATGCCGCTATGTGACCAACATAAACAAACAAGACCATCAGTGAGAAGATTGGCTATTTCTATATAATTGTAGTTGTGGGGGTGGGTGTGGTTCAGGAGGTAGAAGGTTGGTGGTTCAATCGCTGGCTCTTCCCTATGTAAGATACTGAAACCCAAATTGCTCCTGATGCCGTGCCATGCATATGTGAATGTACGAATAGGAGTAGTTTCTGTTTGTGATGAGCTGTTGGCTCATTGCATGGCAGCCTCTGCTATCAATGTATGAATGTGTGTGAATGGGCAAATGAGAACTGCAGTGTGAAGCACTTTAAGTGGTTGGAAGACTAGAAAGGTGCTATATCAATCCATCACCAAGTCTATTATTCTGAATGCCTGCCACAGAGTCGGATTCCCCTTAAATCCAATGAAACAAGGCACTGGAAACACTGCCGCTTTTGTCCACAGGGGCCACCAGAATCAACAAAAAAAGGAAAGTTCCTTGTAGGGGCTATAAATTTAAATTAACACGAATTAGCAACTTCCACTTTACCCTCCCAAAGAGAACGTTTGTCTTACAGCAAAGTGAAATACAGAATAAAAACAGAATTATTGTATTGTAGGGTAATCGGAGACCCCTACGAGCAGCATAACAGGAACTGCAATCTGAGTTTCTGAATTTTAAACTGTTTCTTTTGGGGGGCTTTTTATTGCCTTTATAATAGTGACAGCCGAAGATAGACAGGAAAGGTGGGTAGAGAGAGAGGGGATGACACGCAGCAAAGGGCCACAGGTCGGATTCAAAGCTGGGCCGCTGCAGCAACTCCGTACATGGGTGGTCAGCTCTACCAACTGAGGTAACGGGTGCCCAGTTTTTGAATTTTAAATGACAACTTTGAATACTTGACAGCACAACATTACCCATGTGCAATAATGCCCCCACCCACAGCAGTACATTGCTTGGCTTCTGTGTTGGTACTCCTGATGGCTGACCACCATCTTCTGTAGGTAATACACTGACTGTGCATAAGTACCTCATCCAACCCCTCTTCAAAAAACCCAAAATATCCTTTTAACACCTTTTCGCCTTGTACTGGCCAGGTTTACTATGTGATGTAGCCTGTTCTTTTCACCTCTTAGTGATAATAGAAAGGATAATGAATGACTCAACCATGGATTTGAGTCCAGGTGGGTATCACTGCTCAGTTCTCCTTCTACTTATTCCAAACTGGAAAAACTGGTAAAACACATCTCTTCCTGTATGACAGAATACTTCTGGGTTAGGGCAGCATTAAATGAGGCTTATAAACAAACTTTATTATTGGATTAATACAGAAAAATTTTACTAACAACCACAACACCAAAGAATAATTGATCTTTCACTGGCAAAACGAACACAGTTTAGGAATGTATCATGAGGGGCACAGAAAAACAGAAAATAGTAATTAAGCGTGCACTTTTACTTCAAATGCAACTTACACGCTCATCTGAGTATTGTTGACCAGGTACTGCAACGGGTAGCGGCAAGAGAACCTGTACATCACCTCTTGGTGATAGGTGATGGCTCCTGTGGTGGGATCCTTAGAGCAAATCATGCCTGAGATGGTTATGTACTGGACATGGGAGAAGTCTGCAAACAGTCCTGTTCCCGCCTCCTCAGTGACCTTTGAGGGAAAACATGTTGAGTTTGTCAAGTAGGAAACTGTTGTGTGATCTGCTGGGTGTTTCCAGGTTTTGATAACCTACTGTCAGCTCGCTGGAGCAGGCTGAAATGGCCTCCTCTGTGATCGAGAAGTTGAATCTGACAACGGGCGGGTCCACCGACCAGTCCGGAGTCCCTTTACACTGGTGTTTGGAGTGCTCTGAGTTGAGGGCCAGCAGTGACTCATTGTATCCATTGAAGTAGATGGGACACAGGAGGATCTGGAGATCCACATTCTGAGAGCCACAGAGGACCTCAATGTCTGAGTTATCTGAACAGAGCGAGGATGAGACTAGACTTTAGGATTTTGTCTCCAAGGGACAGATTACTGCAGAACTGACTTCTGAAAGGGGCACTCCCCCCCAATTTATTTCCACATGCTGAGTGTGTTTGTTACGAGGAGTACTGCACAATCTGTGAAAACAGTTGTATGGTTTTTTCTGTTGCTCTGGAGCAGCTACAGTCTGATAAATTAGGTTTTGGATTGGCCTTTAGGGTTATTTTTTTCACAAACTGGAGTTGAAAAGAAGTGTTGGAACCCTCCTGGGGCATGGTCAGTTTGAAAATAGTTTTGCTACGGTTTCCTACAGCTTAGGTTACTGAAGAGCCAGTGTGAAGCTCAGTGTGGTCGGCTCTGGCTGTCTCAAAAAATGGGCAAAGAAAAGCTGAAAAGTCTGAATGAAGCCTGGTTACTGAAAACAGCCAACTGTGACGGCACCCATTTGTCACTCAAAGGGGCCACACCCTTAATTATGCATAACTTTAAGCCTTAATATTATTTAAACAGGTGAGTTGTATAAAAATTCACCACCTGTACAAAGTTGTCATGAAGTAGTTATAGAGACTAAAACCGTTCTTTGTAGCAGGCTGTAACATGTTTATTTCTGCTTTAGAGTTGGGCATTTTAATATGAGGCCTTATGGAGATTGACTCACTGCTGGAGCCAGCCTCAAGTGGCCGTTAGAGGAACTGCAGTGTTTTTGTTACCTCCGTGTTGGCAGCCATAGAGGTTACTGCTCTGTTTAGACCTGTCTGCCAGAAACAAAACAAATTTAAACTGATCATCATAACTACGTGTAGAATCGTTACATCTTCCAGAAAAAAATTTGAAATGGGAATATAGAATGGGGCAAAATACTTTCAGAACCAGTGCTCCTCCCACGCAACCAACACGCTATCAAGTTGCATTACTGGAAATGTAGAATTCAGTGTTTTTGGTGCTGGACTAAAAAGTTCCTCTGTTGCTTTGACCAGTTGAAGTCGGCTAGCTTTACTGGGCTCCCAAAGTGCTGTACTGTGTTGCAACAGTTTTATATGTGCCTTACTTGTGAATTTGTTGCTCCAAAATTTGGCAATTTTACATATATTCAGATACACTTGTCATAAAACTTCTCAAAGTACCTTTTGAAGGTTACCCCATCTTGCCACCATTTTTATCTTAGCCCTATAACTTCAGTTATACATTATCAATGCAAAACAGCAAGAAAACATCCAGCTATGGTTGCATGCAGTAGAGAATATTAATTCCATTTGTAACCATTTTTTTGTCCCTCGAGGAAAATGATACCTTCATATACTGTAGCTTATGTTATATTAAACTCCAGTAGTCAACAACAAGCTCCATTTTCAAACTCCGTCATCCCCATAAAGACACACTCCTCAGATAGCCAGACTACCTTGCAGAAGAAAAACAAGTGTGAAAGGAAGGGAGGGTGCAGGATGCGGATGGAAGGAAAGGATGAGAAAGTGAGAACTGATAGTTTTACTGACCTGGACTCTTGAATGTGGAGTGTCCGATGCATGGATTTTGACATTGGGCGAGAAAAAGTGTGGCAAGGTAATACGTAAGAAGGGCCAGCCACATTTTTGTCAAACTGCTGGTAAAAGTAGATGAGAGAAATCAGAAGTGATCTCCTCTCCACTGGATCATGTTAAAGAGTCGAAGCAGCAGCAGTTGTAGCAGCATTATGGAAGCCTATTGCTGTCACACCAGAAACATTAAATTGAACTATTTCACTTTATAACATGTAAAGTTTATTGTTATATAAGTTTATGTTTTTTATATACTACAATATATTTTGACATTATTATGACTTACAAATTTATCACATAAGAACAAGAAACTTTTTTTTTTTATCACAATACACTATTTAGCTTGTTATAACATGAAACGCTTCGTGTGATTACTTATTGTTTTGAAATAGTACATTTCACATAATAATAAGAATTTTTTATAACAATATACTATTTATCTTGTTATAACGTTAAGTTTATTGTTAAAACAAAACAAGTTTCTAACAAGAAATGTATGATGTTATAACAATAAGTTAAACTCTTGTTATAATGTGATAAGTTGTTGTAATAACGTGAACATATCTTGTTATAACATAAATGTTCCTGTAGTAGCGTGATACTGATCTGTTTGTCTTTTTCTAGCATGGCTACCATACATCATTGGGTGAAATATAGAGCAAACTGGGACTGGTCCATTCATTGCTCTGAATGTGTGACACTTTATATATATTATTTTTTAGGTTCATTTTTGCAGTAAGATGAGACATTTAAAAACTAAAATGTAGTGATTATAGAAGCAGTATAGACTTTTGGAAGGCTTTGTAACATATAAAATTAAGAAATCAAAGGTACAAGCTGCAGATGAAACAATAAAATCAATATATCTTATAACCATTAAAAAACTAATATAATATGAGATTTCTCTTGATAAGATTTTCTTACCTTTTGTGTCCAGATTGTGTTGCCCCACCTCAGTTTGTATTCGCTGTGTCTGCTCTTACCTTCATGACTTCAGGATTTATAGTGGCCTCCTTTCCAGCCAAAAAGGGTTCACAGGAAGCCCACTGAGAAGAAAGGGAAAGGTAAGAGAGCAACACTAGCTGGTTGGACCCAACAACCGGATCATCTGACAGACTCGGAACAATAGGTGAACCTATATGGAGTGTCCTTGGTCTGGTGGAACATTATGCTATAGTAGCTATAAATTTAACTTGTCATTTCAACAATGACCTCAACTGCCATTGTTTTTGTAAGGCAAGAGTCCTAATGTACAATAAATTATGTCATCACAGATGGATTTGATTTAAAAGAGAAAATAAAGAAATGACTAGTAGGGTTGAGAAAAGATCATTGTTGGGATTCTTTTCTTTCTTCTTTTGAACTGGTATATGGATGAGAAAAGAGGGTTTTTCTCACAATTCAGTGAATTTTACAAAAATATCTTAAAAGTAGGCATGTACAGTCAGAACAAAATCCATAGGAAACTACAAAACCCTTAAATATCTGTAAGAACCTATCTACCTACTTATAAGGCAACCTATCCTGAAGACATTACATCACAAAACATTAATACCTGCTGTATTGTTTCGGCCATATTTACGTAAGAGCACCTAAAAAAGTTGATGGTATAAATTCTGCTCCACTTAAGTGCTGATTTTTTTTCACACCCCTCCACTTCTGCCAGGGGCTACCACTCTTTGTTCAGAAATTAGGTCTCTTCGCCACCATCTCACACTTGGAGAGAAAGGCACGCCCTGCCAAACAAAAACCTCCTACATCTGTCACCCGAACCACAAATCCCCCCCACTCCCAGATCCCCTCCAGGAACCCTGAGACCTGATCTGAACAATGGTAGTAGAGATGAGCTTACACATGGAGCTTAGCATTAAGTAGATATCCTGTCCGTCTGTTTCCCCATTCAGCAGCCATAATCGTATGTGAGTGAATTATTAGCACAGGTGACTCCAGGATCTGCCTTTCCTTAATCCTGGCCACTGAAGCTTGAGGGGGACATCGTGTTAGGATTTTTCTATGTCACATGAAATTCCTCTCTCGTGTTTGGTTCTCTCACATCTGGAGCATCTGCTACATCCATCTCAATATTCGTTGTTTTATTGACAAAAACTTTCTTACTGAGAAATCTATAGGTTTGTACAAGATTTAATCCATTCTTAAAAAAGTTCCATTCTTTCAATCTGGCCCAAAAGAAAGACTATGAAACAGGAGCAGGTCCTCTCCTTAAAGAAAGACTTTGAACTTGAACCTGTTAAGGTTATATTCCCTGTCCAACATTGTCTTTGGTTTCCATCACCTAAGGGCACAACAACCTTAACATCCAGTTAATTCCTGATTGGAGCTGCTCCTTTCATTGTAACGCTGCGGTAACAGGATCTGTGTGAATTCACAAAGATTCTGTTTTGCTTTTGTGGAATATTAGCCATCAATTAATGTCACCGATGTCCTTAATCATATATGGCTAAGATCTATTGAACGCAAATGGCAATACTTGAAATTAAATCCTATCATATTCTGTTTCTTTATTGGCCAAGTAAAGACGATAAGGATATAAGATGTCCACATACGTTTTGAGCAGAATAAAGTTAATTTAGTGTATTTTCTGCAAGTTTAATCTGTAAATCAACAACCGTTTATAACCTAACATACCTTCCTAAACTTTTGACAGACTAAACATCTAAAATGATGGACCGGTAAAGAGGACTTTACTCTTTTATTTCCCAACATGAAAATGTAAATGCTATTTCAAAGCCCTGTCCACACAGGATTTCAATTCTGGTGTTTATTTTGAAAAGTAATCAAATTTGAAGCAGCTACAAGGAACTTTCATTATGTATTGATTCTGGCGGCCCCTGTGGACAAAAGCAGTAGTGTTTCTACTGCCTCGTTTCATTGATTTAAAGTGGAATCTGACCAAATCCCAGCCGGTGGCAGGTTATTAACAATAGGAATCCTGTCTATAGAAATAGAAATGATCTTGCTGATGGTCTTGCTTGTTTCTGTAAGTCATACAGAGGCATCAGAATTAAATTAAGACTGTTTCCTAACAGTTAAAACGTACTCCTTGTAGTATGTTTAAATATAAAGTATGTCTAAAAATACTGGAATCAGCTGGAAAAGTTATTTATTGTAGAATGTAAATCTCCGAGATAAAACAGTGAGGACGTGACCTTAATGTTGTTGGATCGAACAATAACCTGAATTTATATAATCTTATGATTTTGGATTTATTGTCTGGCTACTTAATTGAATTGTATTATTGTTAAGGTGTTCCTGTTTTTATGCCCACCCTTTTTACATAAAGATGCTATCAGTACAGCCATAACTACAGTATGTGATATGTACACCATTCTCCATCTGTGGATTATGATATGAGCAGATGAGGATTTACTGCACTTGATGATGGCAATATTTCTTTGCCTTTATCACTTCTGAGACATGTTTCCATTAGTTTCCTGATTGTTTCCTGTATCGGTTTATCCAACGTTTTGTGATTGGTTGTTATATATGAAGCTTCCTTGCTATTTGGACAATTTTTCATGATGAATTCTGGAATTTCAAAGACAGTTGAAGAGAGTCAGGAAATGGGGGAAGAGAGAGAAGGGACAACATGCAGCAAAGGGCTGCAGGTTGGAATGGAACCCAGGCCACTGCGGTAAGCCTTGGTACATGGGGCACACGCGCTACCAGGTGAGCTACCAGGTGAGCTACCAGGTGAGCTACCAGGTGAGCTACCAGGTGAGCTACCAGGTGAGCTACCAGGTGAGCTACCAGGTGAGCTACCAGGTGAGCTACCAGGTGAGCTACCAAAAGTAGGGCTTTACTATCATTATGAACACAGGACGAGGCCATTTGAATCACCTGTGCATGGGACTTCTAGCTTTATGGCCCTGCTCCCCTTACCATTCCAGTTTCATGTCAAATGCTGTCAAATTTAACACATTCATTTTTATTCATTTTTTAAATAACATGTTAAAAAACTAAAATTAATTGAATGATCTCTTATGGCCACATTTCAGACTGATTGATAGGCAATTCAGTGTTATGTTTAATGGAAGCAGACATTTGGAAAAATGTGTGAAGATTTGGAAAGTAAACAATGTATTGATTTCTAATGCCACCTTTAGATATTCAACTTTATTAATGTGCCACAATAATGTTTGTCTTCGATCTTCATTTGGGGACTTCTCCAAGCAAATATTGATATATGTGATTGTTTGTGATTAAATCAACGGATATCCCTTAAAATCTCCATGCCATCCTTTGGACACCCCATGAATATTTCTTTAGATCCACCCCTGCCCCTCCCATGGACCTCAGTGCAACCGCACTGTCTGCCCCGTCTTCATTTATTCCCTCTGAAAGGGAGTATGTTGGAAAAATGGGAAGACATTTAATTACACAAATAATTCAGTTTATCACTTTTAAATCTCATATCAAGCATAGTTTGACAGATATTTACAGAACACAAGCATTATTAGCTCCCGCTCAACAGAAGCATATAGAAGGCAGTTGTGAATAACACTGGATTGAATGCTTGGTTTTGATTTTAACTGGCAAACGCTCCCAATTATGAGTCCTTGCCCCATAATAACCCTAATGTGTACATGCACCTGCACCCTTCCCCACATTAACTCCAGCTACCAATAGGTGTCGCTCTATAACAGCACTTCCAGTCATAATACTGTCTCTTCCCCCAGCTGTGTCACTAGTTGATGTGAGAAAATTAATTCCACCACCAGACTACAGGTAGAAGCAAAACTACTCACTGGTAGTAAGTGACAGCGTTAATCTCACTCTGTTTTCACTGTGCCATTACATACAGTTGAGTCTGCCGGTCATTTTCTGAGGTGCATGTATACAAATCAGCATTACAATGGTGCAAAGCAAAGGACACTCAGTTTTAAGAGCACCGACTTACATTCGTTCTGGATTTATTAAATTATTTGTTAAAAACGGTACACAGCTCAGAAAAAAACTAAGTTAAAACAAAATGGCAGGCTACACTTCCAATGAATCTCAAGACGTTCAGCATAAGGCCTGGGTTCAGTTGGCATTCAGTCTCTTCACAAAACCGTCAATGGTGCAAAATCACAAACGCAGTTTTTGGTAAGTAAACAGCCGACACATTAAGGGGGGCTACACATCGTCTTGGTGGTGATTTGGTGACTGTTGTCCCCCTCCGTGTCCAGCCTCTATTTGGAGCTGGTGTACTTGGTGACGGCCTTGGTGCCCTCAGACACGGCGTGCTTGGCCAGCTCGCCGGGCAGCAGCAGGCGGACAGCGGTCTGGATCTCCCTGGAGGTGATGGTGGATCTCTTGTTGTAGTGCGCCAGGCGCGACGCTTCCCCGGCGATGCGCTCGAAGATGTCGTTGACAAACGAGTTCATGATGCCCATGGCCTTGGAGGAGATCCCCGTGTCTGGGTGCACCTGTTTCAGCACCTTATACACGTAAATGGCATAGCTCTCCTTCCTGCTCTTGCGCCGCTTCTTGTCTCCTTTCTTCTGGGTTTTGGTCACGGCCTTTTTGGAGCCTTTCTTGGGCGCAGGGGCTGATTTTGCAGGATCAGGCATTTTCTCTTTCGTGTAAACGTCAGTGAGGCAGCAGGCAGGGACACAGCTGGGGACCCCGCCTCTTTCTCTAGTCCCTCATTTATAACATGTCTGTGCAAATCACCGTGCGCCATCCCTTCCCTGCGATTGGAGCATCCCTCTCCAGAGGACAGTCATTACCGGAGGACGCGCTGCGCCATTGGCTCGTGCGTCTCAGGTTCAATCGTCCAATGGGAGCAGGCTTTGTGGTTTATATACGTTTACGCACAACTCCATTACGTAAAGGTCCAAGCTCCTCTATCCGCCGTCTCGCAGCGCTTTCGCCTGATCAATAACCCCATTATTAATCATAATGTCTGGTAGAGGGAAAACCGGAGGCAAAGCCCGAGCAAAGGCCAAGTCCCGCTCCTCCCGGGCCGGACTCCAGTTCCCGGTGGGTCGAGTCCACAGGCTACTGCGCAAGGGCAACTACGCGGAGCGCGTCGGCGCCGGGGCTCCGGTGTATCTGGCTGCCGTGCTGGAGTATCTGACCGCTGAGATCCTGGAGCTGGCAGGCAACGCCGCCAGGGACAACAAAAAGACCAGGATCATCCCCCGGCACCTCCAGCTGGCCGTACGCAACGACGAGGAGCTCAACAAGCTGCTGGGAGGTGTGACCATCGCTCAGGGAGGAGTGCTGCCCAACATCCAGGCTGTCCTCCTCCCCAAAAAGACGGAGAAACCGGCCAAGAGCAAGTAAAAGACTCCCCCCCCCCGCAGACCCGGATTCAGCCGGGACCAAGGGCTCACCTCGGAGCCAGCCACTTTTTTCATATCAGTGTTTGTTTTTTGGATAAACAACCTTTGGAATGGGGCGCAGCGTTCGGTGTTGCTGTTTCTACAGTGAAAACATGCTTTCGCTTCTCATCGGGACTAGTCATAAACTGCTCAGTCGCCACTGTTGTGGTGTTGGTTCTGGAAAATGGAGGCGCTCTCTGAAGGCTGGGGATGATGAAGGCCGTGGAAAAAAAACATCAGTTCTTAATGTGGACCAATTGTGAAGGGAGAGGTTGTTTTTTTTAGTTTCGCAATGCTGCTACAAAACGTGCAAAGTTGTATTGTTTTATGTCATGTTGTTTCAATAAATGTCCTGTAGCCTTCTGGCACTGGGCAAATACACCCAGTCTTATTTTTGGTGTTTTCATCCGGGGACTTGTCGTTTGGTCTTTGTGAGAACAAACGGCGCATGAACGGGCTGCAGATCTGCTGGGATGTACAGTGCTGCAGTTCACGGTTTATATAAGCAGTGAGAATTCTTGGATTTCATGTTATACTTAAGTACGTTTCTAAAGAGGGTACAAATCATATACCCTATCTAATATTTAACTAATGCATGACTCATAATGCATGAGTGAATGCAGGAAGTATCATTCATTCATTCCTGTTGCTCACCACTGAAGTGATCAAGTCACTATGACTTTGTGATTAGTTCACACTTAATAGGTCATCAGTGAACAAATGTTAATTCAGTTACAACATGAATTGATATTAAATTGGTTCTGGGTTAAACTGATCTCAGGACCATGAATGGTCTCAGCCTTTATGATTTAAACCATCAGGTTCAGTTTTTTTTTTTTTGAGAATAGCAAATGTTGTTGACACATTTACAGCATAGCATTTTCTTTTCGTTGTTTGTTGTTGAAAGCAGTGGTGCTTAAAGATGTCTGATCATTCTCTCATTGTTGTCCACTATGTTGTAAAAGTGTTAACAATACCACTGGGTTTATTCTCACAGAAATATGAAACAAATGCATGGTGCTGAAATAAACTTAGGTAACTAGAATCCCGGTAATTTGGTTAAGTATCAGTTACTGATTATCTATTAAGTGTGAAAATCAGTCATTCAGACTTGATCATTTCGTGGATGGTGAACAGGAATTCATGATACATCCTGCATGCATGCATTCATTCATTCATTCATTCATACATAGGTTGAGAATTAAGTAAAAGATGTGTACCCTTGCTGTAAAGGGTTGGAATTCTGACTGTTAGTGAACCAGATCTTTTGGCTCAGTTCAGCAAGAGTAGCTCTTTTGGCTGTCAATCAGCTCTTCATTTGGCACCACTTCTGGCTTTTATAATTCAACAATTCTAGTAAATATTTTGACCAATGATTGGTATGTGTGCATGTTACTCAAGTTATTCAGTGTCATTATTCTATTTCTTCTCAAATACCATAATTTTACATTATACTTGTTATAAAAATATAAAACTATTACACATGTATTGAAAGTTTTATTGTTATTTAACTGGTATTGAATTGATAAGTCTCACCATGATTGGGTCTTAATTTTATTATTGAAGTGAGGTGATTCTGGATCATATTTTACAAATACCTTTTAAGAACAGCCCATTACTCTGTCTCGTATAAGCCCAGTTTCTTTTAAAAAGAAGGAAGAAGACATTTACTGGTTGTATAGCAGACATTTTGACTTTTTGAAGCCGTAAAAACACAGGTTGACTTAATAACAGTGACAATGGCACAGTTCCATTAAGCGTTCCAGTAACAGTGACATAACGCACAAAAGCAGGACCTCCCATAAGTGGAAAGCAGCTATCATCAATACACCTCTGAGTTTTCTGCTATGACATGTGAAAATCCTATTGTACACTTAAAAGGAGCTGACTCGGTCATCAACGACACATCACTACTCTTCATGGAAACAATGACGATGAATATTTTGCTCAAGATTTGTACAGTTTTGGTTCATGATGGTTGTTTGTTGCTTACTCACACCGTCATCTTTTGTTCACAGCTACAGCTGTTGTTAGGAGCCCTGTGGAATGTGTTGGAGAGTTCTGACTATCTGATTGGTGGCTATTCATTCTGCAGTTGAAGGTAAATTGTTTTAATATAAGGACAATTTCTAATAGTGTGCATCAACCTGAGAACTGACCCAACTGAAATCTGTGTTAAATGTAGGGCCAAACATGGCTTGGAATTCAAATCTGGGCCTAATTTCTCCAGTAATCAAAGCAGAGGAATTTCATTGCTACTACTATTAGTATAGATAGTTGTTAAAAGGAAGTTTTTCCTTGCCACCGTCGCCATGTGCTTGTTCATGGTGGTACTGTTGGGTTCTCTGTAAACACTTTTATAAGGAGTTCGGTCTAGACCTGCTCTATTTGAAAAGTGTCCTGAGATAACTTCTGTTATGAATTGGCGCTATACAAATAAAATTGAATTGAATTGAATTGCATTGGTTTGTATTGGCCATAAAATCAAACTGGTAATTATCTGTCTTGTGTGTAGGATTACTCTCCAACAAAATAAGTGAACATCTTTATTGTCCTGAAACATCCTTTCACTGTCTCCTCTGAGGATGTTGATGCTTTTGAAAGTCTCTGCTCTGTTATTTTCTCCATATTCAGCCTCTCTGAAATTGAAATCCAGAGATGAGCAGATGATTCAGATGCTATAGCTTTGGTGAGACTTACAGCTTTTCAGCAGCTACTGCAGAAACTATTTTCCAATTTAAGACTCAGCATAATCATAATTTGATACTTAATGACCTCTGGAATTCACTGAGTACAGGGACATTTAACATGTTTACCTTAATTTAAAATATTATGATAGAAAACATTATTATGATTATAAGTAATCTTTAACAAGTACTATCGCTACAAGACAATCCTGTGTAACAAAACATAATTTCTAAATTATCAGTAGATACAGTTTTAACATGATTGCTAATGTATATTACTATAGCATCAGGGGTTAAATGGGGCCTGATGAGGTTCGCATATCTTAAACAATATGTTTATTTATACACTTTTCTCAGTCTTAATAATTCAAACAATGAATAAAACATGTTGTATTCATAGCTATAGGGAACATAGACCTAAATGAGGTGATATATGAACTTGCAAACGTCAGAAATCTTACTGGTTTCAGTTTTTTCTGTCAGTAGGATTCCTTAAAAGATCAGCGACCTCAGCTCAACAGAAGGCAGTGTAACTGGCGGATGGCAAGGTAGGGAGACACTTAATAAGAGAAGGTAAATAGCTCTGATGTTTCCATTTTACAAAACAATACAATTAACCTTAACACAAGATAGTTTGCGGCAGACACAGACATATGTACCCATGGCAATCCTGAAACCACAGTAAGTGTAAATTCCAATTTAATCCCTTTATAAGATACAATATATATTGATATATTGATAATGGTATTAATTGTATTTGTCTTTATACAGTATTCTGTTCTAATTCATTTAGCAGTACAGTATGTTGTCTCAAATCTCAAAGAATTTGAATAGAATCTCAAAATCAAGAACCTCTGCGATGCAATATTGCAGTCATATTTGTACTTAGATTTGAGTCATTTTCATTATAGATATATTATATCAATATTAATGTAAAATATTCCAACTTATAGCTCCAAGTTCCCAACATGTTCACAGTGAACTCTCAGTCCACTGGATAACGAGGTGTATTTGGTACATGAGCATAAAGAAACATGCTTCTGTCATAATTTACTGTTCTGGGCTCAAACATGACATATTTGCAGACAGTGTTTTCTTTAGGATCTTGATATGTTCACACAGAAAATATCTCCTAGTATCATGAGTCTATGTATTAGATCTCTGGGAATATTCATGCTTGTTTAGCATTCAGGGACATATGAATGAGACAGACACTGCGATTAATCAACTTCCTCGATGGTTGGTCCAGAGGATCCTCCACTGGTAGGAGTGCCACCAGCTCCAGGGAAGCCGCCTGGCATTTCACCGGGCATCCCACCAGCGCTCTGGTACAGCTTACTGATGATGGGGTTACACACCTTCTCCAGCTCCTGTTTCTGGTGTTCATATTCATCCTTCTCTGCAGTCTAGTGCAAAGAAATCAAATCAGATATTCTCATATTCAGTGTTCACTTTAGTTTAAACTGTTTTTCTTGCAACACAGATGGGGATAATTCAGCCCTACAAAACCCTAGAGACTACACATGAAATCACCATGTCTTTGATGAGATGCTATATGGCTTAGCAGATGTGTGAACCTACAAACTCTAAGACATTTGGAATTACAATACAATCTGCACTGCTTACCTCTTAGTAAATTATTAAAACCTGACTGATATTGGCCCTTTCGCAGAGATATCAGTATCAGAATCGGTGTATATGTTATCAGATTTGTGCTGATATGAAAACTTTTTTTCCCCAGTATATATAATGCAAAATAAATGGGTGTCATTACAACATTTATCCAGCAGAGTGCGCTGCGATTTACAATACTGTGGCAAGCAGCAAAGAGTAAGAGAGAAGAAGCAACAATGTCAACCAGAATTGGTTTACAAAGTATATGTTAAAGTATTTAACATGTTAAAGAATATTTAACTTAAATATTCTTCAATAAAGTTATTTATTTAAGAAAGCAGCCTTCTGAGTACCTCTGCAGAGTCGTATCGGTGCAAATCCACATAGAAAAATGTCTATTTTCATTCCAGCTCCAAAAATCGGCCGTCATATTGGTAATGAGTGAATTTTCCCCTCTAAAATTGGTAATGGTCTAAAGAAAATCCTGGATTGGTCAGGCTCTATAATTCATCGACTCACATGTTGAAAACATCCTGCATCTTCACTACTAACTCTGGCGTCAATCCACCTACTAGCAATTTTCATATATATTAAGATCATTAGACAGTGACTGCATCTTCAAAACAAATATGTATATATGTAGTAACCATTTTTCATCCCTTTCAACTTTCAGAGAGACATATATCTTTGTATGTATAAATCTATACCTGACCAAGGATTTATTATCTCTAAATTTTATTAGCAGACAAGATTAGACGTGCTGATATGTCAGTTAAGTCACAGGGTAAAAACAGGATATTCATGTTGTCCATATGCTTTAATGTTTTAAATAATCATCATCAATTCTCACCTGGTTCTTGTCAAGCCAGCTGATGACCTCGTTGCACTTGTCCAGAATCTTCTGCTTGTCGTCGTCACTGATCTTGCCGGCAAGCTTTTCATCCTCCACAGTGGACTTCATGTTGAAAGCATATGACTCCAGGCCATTCTTAGCAGATACCTTGTCACGCTGGACATCGTCTTCAGCCTTGTACTTCTCAGCTTCATGAACCATGCGTTCAATGTCCTCCTTACTGAGAC